ACGTTTGAAACAGAAAAATGGGCAAGAAGACAAAAGCTCACGTCCGAAGAAAAGGGAGCCACCGAGCTTGTTCTGGCCACGATTCCCGATCAGGAGGCACAGGTCGAGACAGTGAGGCGCAAGCAAAAGTCAAGAGACTGACAATACTGAGTGTTGAGGGGCTGCGGACCCACCCACAGCCAGGGCTCTGAGGGCGGCAGCCGCGCAACGGCAGCGCTGCGTCCCTCCCCCAGATGGCCGCACGAGGCGCCCTCGCTCCCGCAACAGACTGTGACACAGCTGGAAGCAGCCGTCCCGGGGGATGGGCACATGCACTCCATCGGTGTGTGCAGTGCTGTGCGGGCCGCACACAAACAGGACAGGACAGGGGCTGAAATGAACCCGCACTGGTGTGCCGACTGCCTTTCGGCAGGAGCACTGGGGCAACTCCACGGAGAAAAGGCAGTGTCTTCTACGAAGTGTGCTGTGACCGAGTCCCCACGTAAACACCAACTAGCCTTGAGTCCTGCTGCACACAGAAATTAGTATGAGATAGACAATGATCTGAATATAAAAGTAAAAACCATAAGCTACTAGAAAAAAATATGACAATAGTTTCTCCTCTGGGGCAAGCAGAGATTTCTTAGAAAAAAAATAAGTATAAAAGAAAAAAAAACCTCTAAACCGAAGTTCAATAAAATTTAGAAGTTCTGCTCATCAAAAGACACCATTAAATATGAAGGCAAGTGACAGTGGGGAGAAAATATTTACAGTACAGGAATCTGACAAAGGACTTGCATCCAAAATATAGAACTTTCGTAACTAGTAACAAGATGAATGGCCCATTAAAAAAAAAAAAAAAGGCAAGAGATTTGGAGACATTTCACAAAAGAAATGAACGGCCGATAAACCCAAGAAGAGGTGCTCGACATCATCGGCAGCAGGAAAGCGCTAACTGCAGCGGCCACGAGACGCACGGCACGTCTGCTGAATGGTTGGCACTGAGGCCGACAGCGTCCGCGGCACCACAAGGTGGAGAGCCGCCACGCGGGCGCAGGGCAGCCTCTGGGCTCGGCAGGTTCTCTGAAGGCGAAGCAAGTGTCACCCTGTGACTTGTCAACTCCACCCCTTGGTATGTTCCCAGGCGCGGTGGAGACGCAGTCCACAAAAAGGCTTGGATGCGAATGTTCACGGTGCTTTCGCTAAAATAACCCAGATAGGAAACTGCCCAAATGTCAGTAAACAGTACAGCATAAAAACGAATTGTGGCACGTCCACACAACAGACAATAAAAAGATAAGCTGCCGACATACAAAATGCCACGGAGAACCGTTACGCCGAGCGAAAAGCTACACACGAGGGAGCACGCTGTGTGATTCTTCCTGCAGATTCGAGCCCCACGCAGTGCTCTCTGGCCCACATTCTGGGTGGTGGAAACATTTTGTATTTTGACTGGGGTGTTAGGGGTACACAGTTGTCAAAACTCACCAAATTGTTCACCTTGTACACAATTTTCACATTGAAATCCTGCATTTCACAGTATATAAATTTCACCTCAATTTTTAAAACCTGAATGAACTATAAAGATTGGCAACAACAGTATGGATACATCTCAACAACGTTAAGTTTTAAAATATCACGGCCTGATACTCCTCGCATGAAAACAACTGAAATTTTTAACGAACTTTTCCAGATTGGTATAAATACCAGAGCTCCGCAGGGGTAGGGCCAGAGCGCAAGCCGGCTCTAGCTCTAGGCGACACAGTCAAGACACAGCGACCAGACCACACACGCACGACACATGGTGAGAGCGTGTCCTGAACAAGGCTCGTGACTGACTCAGCTCTCTGCTCCTGAAATCCTGAGGTCTACACTTAAAAAGGAGAAGAAATCACAACGGAAGCTAAAAAGTGTACCATGCTATTCAGGACTGAGGGGCACCCACCACGGTCACCACAAGAAAATGAATCGTCTTAAACCTTACATGAGAAAAGTGAAAAGAAAGGCTGAAATGTAATGAGCATTAGAAACGAAGCAAACCCAACAAGATCAGAAACTAAACAAATAAAACCAAGGTGCACAGAGAAAAGGCGCCAGGGGCAGCAGTCAAAGGCACATCCCCACACCGGAGGGCAGCACAGGTGCACGGCCTGTCTCTGTCCTTTACTAAGGACACCAACACACCTCCTGGAAGACAGGGCATCCCCTGAGCCATCCCCTCGGGCCTGCAGCCCCTGCTGGGGGCTGTGGCCATCCAGGACAGACTGTTCCTTGGTGGCTAACCACTGCCGGGGTCCCCAGGGAAGCAGGCGCAGACAGGTTCTCTGCGGTGGCGGAAAGTGGCGGGGTACCCCTGGGGAGGACGCGCCGGCCCCCCCCCCCCCCCGAAACCCTGTTACAAGCCCTCTTTTCCACAGACCTCCAGGGACTCAGGCCCCAGGCCTGATGCACAATATGTGCCTAAGGCTACCTTCTTTAAAAGCCAGACTTTTTGTTTGCTAATCTTACTCCACCCTCAGCCAGGAACTGTGGGGCCCTTCTGTGCCTCCAGGCCCTTGGCTAGGACAGCAAGGTGGTCATGCAAATTCCACCGCAAAGCTCACCGAAATTTACTGCCCTGATTTCTTCCAACTAAACCCTGAGAACAAGTCAAATCTCTGGAGTCAGGGCAAGTCTTCTTGGTGAGACTTCAGCATCACCATCTTTTCAGACGCCCACGCCCAGAACGGAGACATCGTGATGCCCAATCTGGGGGCTTCCTGCTCCTGGAAGCAGGGACCTTGTGGCTCTGAGCCCTTGCCTGCCTCCCTCCCTACAGTTTCTGGGAGTGATGGGGCCAGACGTCCAACTTGCTCTTCCTCTTCCTGCCCACCGCGGAAGGGCACTTTCAGGGACCTGGTTCTCTGCCCTGCCCTCTGCCAGCTCAGTGGTGGCTAGGCTGGCCTCCATCAGCATGTTTATTCAGTGCCTCCCTGGTCTGCAGTCCTCACTGTTCTAAATTGGGCTCCACCTTGCCCAACTTGGCCTTCCCACGTTTTCTTTCCTACTCTCCAGTGAACAGAGAGAAAGCTGCACAGGATATCAGAGAGGAGAGGGCATCTTCAGCCCTCCAGTCTCCTTCTCCCGAGTCCTGCTGGCCTTGTCCATGTGGAGCCTGCACACCGAGAGAGCTTCCAGAATCCTGCCAGTGATTCTGGAACACATACACAGCAACGCATCCATGGCCATTCAAGAGAACGCGCTGTCACTGTCCAGTATTTCATAAAGAGCAGCCCTAAAGGAGAACAAGAAAATCACCACCTCCCTTCACTCAAAGGCCCTAAGAAGCTCACTGTGGACCATGGTGGGCGTGACTGTCTTCAGTGGAAACTGTCTTTGTTTAGGAAAATGTTGGACAGACCATCTGAGAGTGAAAACAGGTCCCAGGGCAGGGTCTGGAAGGAGATGATGGAATGAAAGGGAGTTTTAGTCTAAGAAAAAGGAACCACAGCCCTGGGGCTTGTCTTCGAGAGCAGGGCTGTCCGTCAGGCAAACTTCTTCCCAAACCTCCCCCCACCCCACTCCCACCCCGTGTTCCTGGTAATCAAGGGAAAGGCTGAGCCAGTATGAGAAGAAAAGTAGGTTCATAGGTGGATTAATTAGCACGAGCAGAAATTCCGACACACAGCTGACCTTGCTCAACAGAACCCCCTAAGGAATGCCCAGAGGAGGTGGGTACCCTGTGTCCCGAGACCCAGAGGGGCCCAAGGGGAGACTGCATGCAGACAAACACTCTAAAGGTGGGTTTTCAGGTAATTAAAGAGAGGGGCGTCTGGGTGGCTCAGTCAGTTGAGCGTCCGACTTGTGATCTTGGCTCAGGTCATGATCTCACCGTTTGTGGGATCGAGCCCCGCATCGGGCTCTGCGCTGACAGTCTGGAGCCTGCTTGGGATTTTCTCCCCTTCTCTGCCCCTCCCCTGCTTACATGTATGCTCTCTCGTTCTCTCTCTCTCTCTCTCTCTCTCAAATAAAAAAAAAAAAATTTATAAAAAATAAGCTAATTAAAGAGAAAATCCATGGTTGAAATACACACTGTGCAGTGATGCTTCGCCTATTGTAATCATTTGTCATGTTACTGAAAATACTTTTTAACGTAGTAATGCCCATGTACAGATTGCACACAAATCATTTTCAGAATTTCTGAGATCCCTACAAGTGAAATCTAGGAGTGGAGGGCATGAGCATTTTTTAAGTTCTTGATACAAAATGCAAAGTTATGCTGCCGACGCCCCCAGTTCACACTTTGCAAATACTGAGTATACGCACCTCAGAAAACCCTGTTAACTTGGTTTTTAAAGCTCGTATCTCGGGGCGCCTGGGTGGCGCAGTCGGTTGAGCGTCCGACTTCAGCCAGGTCACGATCTCGCGGTCCGTGAGTTCGAGCCCCGCGTCAGGCTCTGGGCTGATGGCTCAGAGCCTGGAGCCTGTTTCCGATTCTCTGTCTCCCTCTCTCTCTGCCCCTCCCCCGTTCATGCTCTGTCTCTCTCTGTCCCAAAAATAAATAAACGTTGAAAAAAAAAAAATTAAAAAAAAAAATTAAAAAAAAAGCTCGTATCTCACGAATGTCACTTGTGTTTCCTTGGTCACAAGTGATAAAAAGGTTGTGAGAGTTCAGCTGCAGTCTGACTGCTCCCCTCCTTCCTGATGAACCTTTCCTCCTTACAACTTGTGTGACCTCTGTCTCCCTAAGGCTGTTCATCCTTTAAGTGCTTATCCACATTGTCCCAGTTTATCTTCAGTTTTATTTATGTGGTTCTCTGCTATGCAATTCTGTATTTTTATGCCATCCTATTTATCAAAAATTAATTAACTCATTATGTGCTCTTGCAATTTAACGGCGAGAGCCCATGAACCTTAACTTTTAAGTCTGATCATTATATATTAGAATAACGATTTTCAAGAACCACACTAAAATGTAAGGTCATTTAATTATTCAACCACTACATATATACACATTTTAAGTAAAACAAAGAGTTACTTACCGAATCCAAAAAGCAAAGGTAAGACCCCGAGCTCTGTGCTATTGCTTGGTTTTTAGAATATCCGACTGTTTTACAAAAGAAAAAGAAAAGGTCTTTTATAATTCAATTTCTGATGGTATTTTCTTTCCTGAACTTAGAGTAACACATACTACTAGGAAGCTCAAAACATGGTACCCCAGCAGGTAAAATCCAGTTGGCTTTAGACGGAGTGAGAAGGAAGGGAAGGGAAAACCGTGTCCCATCTTTAGGGATGGAGACACAGTCAGTGTTACGTTGGGACGCAAAGAGCCCACCCAGACCCAGTGTGTTAAGGAGGGACTGCTCCCTGGAGGAAAACAAATTCAGCAACCATTCAGAGTATAACGAAGCTAACCCTGGGGAATATTTTCAAAAAAATCAAAACGTCACTGAATGGAAATGTCTGTGTAGATGCGAAGCAGTGACACGCGTGTGATTGGCCGTTAAGCACTCGCCGAACGGGATGCTTTATCAGTACTTAGCTGAATGTATCTCTCAGTGGTGGTTCCAGTCACTGCCAGCGTTCACTATGTCTGCACATGCACACACCTAGGGGCCCCCCTGCGAGGTGCAGACCCCATGTTCACAAGGTGTGACTGTCCTCAGATCCCCGACGTAGAACGGAAAAGCTGAGAGCACACCACGCTGAGAACGGACATCCCTGGGCTGCCCATGTACGCGGGTGATGTTCACACAGCGCACGAGGATGGCAAATTCATCCAGAATCGGGAGGTCACCTTGGGAAGAGGGCAGAACCAGAAGGGACATGGGGGTCTCTGAGGGTGGGTGATGTTGGCTCCTCCTCCGGGTGCCAGTGACATGGTGCTGGCAGTTTGTGAAAATTAACAACTGGACAATTACGATAAGTGCACTTTTCTTACGGATGTTATGTTTTGTTTTGTTTTTTTAAGCTTGTTTTTGAGAGAGAGAGAGAGACAGAGCATGAGCAGGGGAGTGACAGAGATAGAGGGGGAGGCACAGAATCTGAAACAGGCTCCGGGCTCTGAGCTGTCGGCACAGAGCCCCACGTGGGGCTTGAACTCACAGACCACAAGACCATGACCCGAGCTAAAGTCGGACGCTAAACTAACTGAGCCACTCAGGCGCCCCCTCTTTTTTTTTTTTTTTTTATAGTGTTTATTTTATTTTTGAGGAGGGGTGGGTAGGGACAGAGAGAGAGAATCCCAGGCAGGCTCCACGCTGTCACAGAGCTTGATGTGAACCCACGAACTGTGAGATCATAACCTGAGCTGAAGACAGATGCTGAACCGACTGAGCCTCGCAGCTGTCCCGGATGTTATGTTTTAATAGATGTTTTAAAAAGTCTTTGGCTTCAAAGTGATTACGACTTACAACTGGGTTGGAAAAAGTGGCTGTGTGCCCACTGAGCCGTGCTGGGGTAGCACCAGGAGAAAAAGCAGCAGCCACAGCCTGCCACGGTGTGGGGAGCACCGGGCTGTCCGCGGCAGGTGGGAAGGCAGGCCTGGCCAGTAAGGAGCGTCAGCAAATTGAGCTGAGACAGCTGAGTCCGGACGGAGGGCAGGGCAGGTTATGGGAGGATTTAGAGGGGCCGAAGGGGCCGAAGGGGCCGAAGGGGCACAGATACACGCTCCACAGAAAAGAGGCTGCCAACACCTGAGTCGAGTTAACCATCCGGTTACAGATTTGGTGCCACGGAGGAAAGTCACACGAAGTGAAAGAGATGTGTGCAGAGGCAAAACAATAAATCCCTCCAATAATCAGGCTCAGGCGACCTGACCAGGTTCCTTGGCGCCAGGGACACAGCAGCGCACTTGCCTCAGGCCACATCAGAGCTCTGGGTTTTCTGTGCTGAGGACAGCGCCTCTCCGAGGGGGGGGAGAAGGCAGCTGCTCAGTGGGGGGTTTGAGCAAATTCCAGCTCCGGGAAGTCTCCCTGCACCGGTGCCCTGGTGCAGGCTGTTTCCACGCAAGGTGGCAGCTCAATCTTAGCATGAATCCTAGAGCTTAGCCAATGCCAACCGGTTGGCAGACCGGTCCCAGATCTCAAAGAGCCACAGGTGTAATAAGCAGAGAAGAAGGGCACAAGGGGGGGCCCTGGCAGCCGCACCGGCAGCTGCAGAAAGCGCCATCATCACCGCCAAGCACAGCAAACCCAGGGAAAGGTCTCACGCGGTCGAAACCCAAGAGCCGTATGAAGAAGATGAAAATGGGAAGAGACACAATCACATTTAAACTAGCAGGAGTTCTGTTTAAAAAGCTGCTCAGTAGAGTCAGGTTTCAGAAGGGGTACAAATCAAACCCCAGAATTTGGATAATGGAGGAAAATGTCTCACTAAGGAAGCTGGAAGTTCCTCACAATGAGTCCTATGTTTGGCAAAGACAAGGAATTTGCTTTAATATTACTGCCTTGAAGAAAGTCAAATGTTTGTGCCAGGGCCTGCTGTCTGGGGGGCTGTCACAAAGGGACGCAGCTGGTTGTCATGGTCACAGCAGGAAAAAAACGCAGCCCTGGCGGGATTGGTGTCCTCACTCTTGGGGAGGGCGGAACTGTGCTGTACTTTCATTTGAGTAAGTGACCGCATTGTTAAGAAATGTTTTGCTCTGTTATGATATGAAACAATAAGTGAATCTTAATCCAATTTAAATAACTCCGCACTCCTGAAAAAAGAAACACTTTGGATTTATGCTCTCCAATAGTCCATGTAACTTTTCCTGCTTAAGAAAATACCATTATAGGAAAATCTGCCCTTTCAGATCTAATCAAATTAACTCCATCCCACACTCGTGTGTTACGGGCCCCCATGACTCTGCCTTGCCTGTCTCCAAAATGACAGCAGGTTGCCTCCATTTCTTCACACTATTACAACTGATTTTTCTTAATTGACAAAATACATACAAATGTGACATGACTCAAGTTATATCTAATCTGTGGAAATATTTTATGAAAAACAAAACTTGTTTCTAAGATGGAGGTCAGAGAAGCAATCACACCAGCCACCAAAATGCCTTCAGCTTATTTTATCAACTACGGAAGATACAAAACATCTTAATAAAAGACGATTTGACAAGGATGTTCAGACTAGTTTCAAAATCCACAATTCGTTTACACACATTTCAGATGCAAGTTGAAACAGATGTTCTACAGTAACTGATTTTTTAGTTTTCTATCTCAAACAAACTGGAGACAATGCGAATAAGAAATCATTTGGGGAAAAAACCAGAACGTCTTCTGGAGGCATGAGATCATGGGGAAGATCAGGATGACAAGAATGGGGCAGGTCCTGGTCCCAGTCACTGAGCCCCACTGAGAACTCAGCAGCCTCCCCCTTGAGCCCCCTCGCTTCCCGACACTCCGTCCCCCCTGCCCGCCTTCTCCCACTGCCACCTTCTGCAGGCCCTTTCCGCAGAGGAAAAGGAATCGTATTTTATGTATGCTATCCAGAACCTCCACTCTTTCGACCCCTCTGCTGATGCAAGTAAGGGTGATGATCTGCTTCCTGCTGGCACGAGGATTATATCCGTGTAAGAATTCAACAGAGAAACGGCAGGAAGGCCCTTCCTACTTCCCAAGGGAGCGCTGATGATTACGGTAAAAAAGAAACTAGCGAAGGTGTTTAAGAAGAAATTTACCTGCAGTGGTACTGTAATTGAGCATCCAGAACATGGAGAAGTAATTCAGCTACAGGGTGACCGGTGCAAGAACATATGCCAGTTCCTTGTAGAGATTGGACTGGCTAAGGACGACCAGCTGAAAGTTCATGGGTTTTAAGTGCTTTTGGCTCACTGAAGCTTAAGTGAGGATTTCCTTGCAATGAGTAGAAGTTCCCTTCTGTCCCTTGTCACAAGTTTAAAAACCTCACAGCTGGGGCGCCTGGGTGGCTCAGTCAGTTGGGCATCTGACTTCAGCTCAGGTCACGATCTTGCGGTCCGTGAGTTCGAGCCCTGCGTCGGGCTCTGGGCTGATGGCTCAGAGCCTGGAGCCTGCTTCTGATTCTGTGTCTCCCTCTCTCTCTGCCCCTCCCCCGTTCATGCTCTGTCTCTCTCTGTCTCAAAAATAAATAAACGTTAAAAAAATTAAAAAAAATAAAATAAAAAAATAAAAACCTCACAGCTTGTATAATGTAACCATTTGGGGTCTGCTTTTAACTTGGACTAGTGTAACTCCTTCGTGTAATAAACTGAAAAGAGCCAAAAAAAAAAAAAAAAAAAAAAAAAAAAAGAATGGGGCAGGTCCTAACACTCCTCTAGCACCTATGTCTTCTCAACAATGGGACAGGCACCTGCTGCCTGCAAAGGAAACTGAGGCACAGAGAGGTGAAGGAGTATGTGGGGGTGGGGGGGGGCACCTGGCTGCCTCCTGCCCAGTCTTCTGCCCCAGAAGGCAGGGCCACCTAGAGGCAGTGCCAAAGACTGGTCTTTCAATATGAACTTTATAAAATAGCAGGAGAAAAAGCTTTCTTTTAAGTGACCAATTTTAATGACCATTTGTGGTTTTAAATTTTTTCTAAAATGTTTACACTTTCCTGCTCTCCTAAGTAGGGTATAGGATGCTGTTTGTGAGGGATGTGGTGCAGTCAGGGGCACTTTCTGGGAGAGAAGTATCTGTTTCATTCTGTGAACTCAACTTCTTAACTCACCTCTGTGAACATCCACCCTCTCCTTGGCCCCGAAACACAAAGACAAAAACACAGTGCTGGCAGGACGCTGCAGAAGGGGAAGGCAAGGGGATTCGGAGGCTATGCGTTGAAGCAGCACACTGTTTTGCAGAGAGCCAGTGTTCAGAGAGGTTAGCCCTGTTCGAGGGTGGACCCTGTGAGCTCTGGGGGAGACAGCTTGGGTTCAGGGCCCCTCTGTGAACTTGGAGTAAACCAGCAAGTCCAGCAAGGATCAGTGCACCTGCCCCAGAAGACCAGGAGAGCTCTGTGAGGTCATGCCAGGGGCACACACGTGAGGGTCAGGAATGAGACCAGGGCAGCCTCCTGACCACCAAAACTGGCAGACTGAGCAGAGAGGAAACAGGACAGGAAACAGGAAGGGGCTTTGAGGGCAAGAAGCATCTGGGAAGA